TTCATGGCAGGGTGAAGCCCCATAAGAGCCCAGGCAGTGGCTCGTCCCAGCCCTGCGAGAACATCGTGGTGGCTTACTACTTCTGCGGAGAGCCCATCCCTTACCGCACCCTCGTCAAAGGGCGCGTGGTGACGCTGGGACAGTTCAAGGAGCTGCTGACCAAGAAAGGGAACTACAGGTAAGGGCTGTCCCCCGTGTGCGGTGTGGTGCCCGCAGGCTGTCGGTGGCCCCTGGCAGATGCCGCTGGCAGGATGCAGTGTCCCCACCAAGGCGAAGGAGAGTGGTGGAGCCTTCCAGGAGGTCTCCCACGGGGCACGCTGCGGTGGGGATGCGTCAGCATGGTCAAGGGGCCTTGGCTGTTGAAGAGGCAGGTGAGAGAGGCGAGAGAGGTGGGGTTTTGTACCAGAAATGTCCTGCGTCACTGTTCACACCTTTGACAGCAGCTGATGATCTGTCCCTGCAGGGTCTGGGGCTGGTGAGGAGCAGCATCAGCCGCTGCTCAGTGATGCTGTGGGGAGCACCCTGCCTTCCAGAACCATTTCAGCTTCTCCCAAACGTTCCTCCAGGCAGGACAGCGAGGTTGGGTCCTGCTGCAGTCCCCAAGCAGCCAGGCATGGGGCGCGTAGCTTTCCAAATTCCCCCTCCCAAGCAGGAGCTGCCATGGGAAATCCTGTCTAGAGCGCTCCAACATGGGTGCCTCCAGCCACTGCTCTTCAGAGAGCTCTGAATGGGCTTGGGTTCAGGGCTGGAGCTCCTCAGTGTACCAGCACAGATCCTGAACACTTTTTTTGCTCCCTGGGTGAGGGAAGGGACAAAAGCATGGCCCCAGTTGCCTCCACATCTTGGGGAGCTGCTCCCCACGCACCACGAGCTCAGGGGCGGGGGAGGGCTGTACTGGGTTTGAGTACATGGTGCCCTCGTAACCATTCACCTCCTTTTTTTCCTCTCTGCCCCCATGTTTCTGGTTTTTCAGGTATTATTTTAAGAAAGTGAGCGACGAGTTCGACTGTGGTGTGGTCTTTGAGGAGGTACGGGAGGATGACACCATCCTGCCCATCTTCGAAGAGAAAATCATCGGGAAGGTTGAGAAAATTGACTAAGCTCCAGGGCTGCCGAGGCGTGAGGACGGGACTGTGAAAGACTCTCGGACCGGAGGAGAGGGTCTGGGTGGACGCTGGCAGTGCCACTTGCTGCGGGCACCGGGTGAGCCCGGGGTGACGCCTGCTCCAGCACAGACCTGGGCAAGCGCCGGGCTGCTGGTGGATGCCGTTCCACTCCGCAAACCTGCCAGTGGGAGCCCGGGCTCCCTCTCCATATCGAATATAAGTGTAATGTAGCATTGTACAGTGCATTAGAAAGTGTAATATGACCTTGTTTACTAAAGCTGCATATTTTTGATATATTGTAATAAAAGGAAAAATATTTCCCAGCACAGACCTGGGCAAGCGCCGGGCTGCTGGTGGATGCCGTTCCACTCCGCAAACCTGCCAGTGGGAGCCCGGGCTCCCTCTCCATATCGAATATAAGTGTAATGTAGCATTGTACAGTGCATTAGAAAGTGTAATATGACCTTGTTTACTAAAGCTGCATATTTTTGATATATTGTAATAAAAGGAAAAATATTTCCAATGTCACTGTGCTCTTATGTAAATGTAAAACATACAGGTACTGCAGAACTCGCCCAAAGTGTACAGCCATCCGCCAGACTCCGTCTGCTCCTCGCTTTCCCGGCACCCCGGGGTGGATGGCTGCGGAGCGCTGCCGGGGCAGAGCCGCTGTCTCCCCGTGGCATGGGAGTGGTGGCCGCACTCTGGAGGGGCTGTGCTCCCAGCTCAGCTCCGAACAGTGTTGAGCCGTTTGGAACCAGTCGCTCTCTCGCCTCCCCGGCAGGCTCAGCTGCTGGACCCGGTAGGATGGTTTGTTTTCCTCCTGAGCTTTCTTGCGACCGAGTAAATTCCCAAGGGATGGAAGGGTCGGTGCCAGCTCTTGGGGCTGGGGGTTTCTCTGGTGCAAGAACCGTCTCGGAGCCAGGGTGGCGGGCTGGATGCTGGCGTCCCACGGCCTCATCCGCCTCCCTGCGTACCCCCTGCCCTGGGGAAGGGTTCCTGTCCCAGGAGGGTGCTGCGGCCAGGGGACTCTGTAGGAGAAACTTAGCAGGGGAGGGAACTGATGAGAAACTAAATCTGAGGATAAAAAAACTGACTTTTTATGGGTCTTCTGTCTTTTGCTGGCTTCTG